CTTTGTATAAGATGCATTTTGCAGCCACTGTATCACGATGCCTAACGGTTTTCAGTCCTATTGGACGCTGATTTGACGCGTTGCTTCTGTTGTAAATGGGTTGCTCCGCCTCTTAGAAAGTCAGATGCGTTAGATCTTCGATGTATGTGGCTTCATCTTCTTCTTGTGCAGCAGCATTCTCCGTTTCAACGTTTGATTCAATGATTGATCGCCAGTTTTTCCGGTATACTTTAACTTTAGACACCAACCGATTGTTCAATTGTTGATCTGGATTTTCTGCTGCATTTTCAACCACTTCACCTGCTTTAGGTTTTTGTCCCAATTTTTTTGTCTCACATTACGATTAAAATTGTCGCCGGCTCAATTGTGTCACAATGATGTCTGGCAATCCGACTTCTGGCTTCGGTTCACAATTGTGGCACACCTTGAATCGATGACTTCGTGTGTTCCGTGAAAATCGCTGCACACGTTTGCGATGTGTATGGATTTGCCACGAATCGAACGACACAATCCCCTTGTTTGAGAATAGACTTCACCAATCTGCGAGTTCCCGGAGCTCGAGTTGATTGAATGTATTTGTCCATGCAAAGTCAAGCATATTGGCGAGTGGCATACGCAGCCATTGCTCTTTGTAGCATTCTCAAGCGATGACGAATGTACGACATATATGTTTTATATGAAATGAATGTCCGAGAATGAAAACGCAACTTCTATTCACAACCACACGTGTGCAAGGGGGGGGGGGTATAATTTGGAAGCCAGATTTAAGGTATGGAGAGAGCATTGACGACTCTGGGATTGACATGTTGATAGGCCAACTTTTTTTTGCTATCTATTGGCATCATCAATTTTCCGCCCTGACCCCTCCTTATTGCCAAAGGGAGGGTGCTTTGGGTGAAAAATCGTGTTTTCCATTCGAGATGTTTCCTTAGAGAAGCGATTTAAGGCTCTGGGAGTGGTTTTGGCCCCCAAACCCCCCCTATGTTCAGAGACTCGATTTTGACGAGCTATCGTTTGGCATCATTATTTGGCAACGACTACTCCGAAAAAAAAAATCGAAGTAGTCGTTTTTTGGCAACAAAATGTATGGAGACCCCCCCTATAACCCCCCCTAGGGAGGAAGGTCTTGAGCACTAGAATACTATAGAAAAAAGAAAAACTTGAATTTATGCTATTTTTATGGAAAATTTGAAATTCTAAGATTCGACCCTATTTTGTGGGTATTTGCCCTTGACCCAATGGGTCACCCCTGTACCTGTGAACTATCTCGGCTCTACTATCCCACGGTACAAAAAGAATTTCATTTCCCTTTGTTTTTGTCAAAAATGTGGCTATATATAAAAAGTCCGGACTTCCATACAAAATAAAAAAACCAGGAAAAAAATACATATAATTAGTTACCATACCCTATTGGGTCACATGGGAAAACTAATGATGACAGTCGATAGAGCATAAAAAACGAGTCTATGAACATGGAGGGCACCAGGGGTCAAATGCCCTCCCTAACCCTTAAATATGGGTTCGAAAAGAAAAAAACGAATTTTCAATGGACCCTTATTTAGAGGGTGGGGAAGGGTCAGGTGGCAAAAATAATGATGCCAAACGATAGCTCGTCAAAATCGAGTCTCTGAACATAGGGGGGGTTTGGGGGCCAAAACCACTCCCAGAGCCTTAAATCGCTTCTCTAAGGAAACATCTCGAATGGAAAACACGATTTTTCACCCAAAGCACCCTCCCTTTGGCAATAAGGAGGGGTCAGGGCGGAAAATTGATGATGCCAATAGATAGCAAAAAAAAAGTTGGCCTATCAACATGTCAATCCCAGAGTCGTCAATGCTCTCTCCATACCTTAAATCTGGCTTCCAAATAATACCCCCCCCCCCCTTGCACACGTGTGTTCACAACACATATAAGTGAAATAAAAATAAAAAATTTTATTGAAATGAAACAACACAATCGAATTTTTTTAAAGTGTAACATCGTTATGTTGTTACACTTACTACATACCGATGTTACACTTTAAAAAAATCTTTTTTGTTGTTACACTTTGAAAAAATTCGATTGTGTTGTTTCATTTCAATAAATTTTTTTATTTTTGTTTCACTTATATGTGTTGTGAATAGAAGTTGCGTTTTCATTCTCGGACATTCAAATAAGCAAAATACACAATACAAATCATACCTCTTTTCCTGTGGAGATTGTTCGTCTCACTGACGCAATGCGAGTTTTCATACCAGGGTCCACTGCAGCTTCGTAGAAAAAATCCCGATACATTGCAAGAATATCCTCGGGTGAGAGTTCCGTTTGCTCTTATTTTGGCTTGACTATCTGTCCTAATTCGTTGGCGGAATTTAAACTTGCCTCTCACCAGCCCATTGATCTTCTCCATATCAAAATAATGTGCCCAATTTTCATCACGGTTCGCATAGAAATCATTCTGTTTCCATTCATCCTCACTGTCTGGATTTATCGATTTGTTGGTGAGAGCTAACAACAATTTCGTATCGATCGGAATGTGTTTCAGTTGAAATGAGTTCATTGGAACCACTGCGAAATTTCTAACACTCGGTGGACGTAGTGCACTTGGCTGCGGCATCATACGATCTCGTTTGTGTTCCTTTCACTGTATTTCCAAACTCACAGTGTCATTGTGAAACTGTTCAACAACGCGTTGAATGCGACAAAACATGTACAGTGATTGAAACCAATGAGTTATAACGAAATTGAACATGTTATTGTTTGCTGGACCACCAATTGCTTGCAATTGCTCCAGAAAATCTTCATACAAATCCTCCTTCAAGTCGGAATCAGGATTCAATGGACGCTGGAAAAACAAATATTTCAACAACGCGTTGATATCGGCGTCATTGATTACCACTCGATCGTATGGCTCCACATCGTCGAACTAGGACTCGTTCTATCGGTATACACAAATTTGTAAAAACCAACGCACCCGCTTCCAGCGATGTGCGAAAATGTTATTCTTCGTGTACAGATGGGCGGACTATCTGATTAAGATTAATTAATCTTAATCAAACACCCAAAATTCGCGATGATTAATACGACCACTTAATCACTTAATCGCTATTAATCATGATTAAGTGATTGTGCAATTGATTAATTAATCATATCGAAAAAAAAATCGAAGAAAAAGTTTCATACAAAAAACATGTCAATTTTGACCAGACCTAACAAATGTTGAACAAAAATGGGTCTAGCAAAAATCGACATGTTTTTTGTATGAAACTTTTTCTTCGATTTTTTTTCCATATTATTAATTAATCTCTTGCACAATCACTTAATCATGATTAATAGCGATTAAGTGATTAAGTGCCGTCTTAATCATCCGAAAAATGATTGTGCAAGTGATTAAGTAATCGCAAAACGCCCACCTGTATCTTCGTGTTGGTTGTGTATACACCGTACAACTCGTTGAAGACATTTCCCACGTCTTCAGACTGTGGCCACTGGAAGTCGATGCCGATTTCTTCTCCAACCATTTAGCGATATTCGATGGGAATTTTCATCCAATTTTTGAGTTTGTTCTTTTTTGGTTCGACAACAGCCTCAAAACAGAGTTTGATTGCTTCTCCACCATCCTTTGCGAAATAGTCGGTGTCGTCATTAATCTTATCGTCCGTTGCACAATTCACTTGATACAGAAAAGCAACGAAGCCAGATTTGTGATGACGGTGTCTTTTTCACTAATTCCCGTGAAAAACTCAACGATGTACTCTCTCTACTTTATGTTTGATTCGTGTTCGATGTATGTAGCAAAACACCACCCGAACGACTAATAGTAAATTTTGCGCCGAATAAACAAAATATTTTGTGCTCGTATGATATGAATTGCAATCAACAAAACCGAACATTGATACATCTATGCCAACTTCTAGAAATGAATTACAAAATATCAAAACTAACTACATATCCCAAAACCTTCTCCAGTCCCGAGAACAATGGGTATTAATTATATTTTGTGTTTATTTTTTCTTCATCAAAATAATATGCATAAACACAAACACAAACACAAGCACACACACATACAATATTTCCGTATTCCGTGGATACATATCCCATACGAAATTTGCATACCGCACAAAAGAATGCAAGCGAAAGTCTCGTTTACCTCACTCATATTGCTCATTCAAACATGTTAATTCTCTTATAATATTGCATCAGTCTAATGCCGTACGCCCGCCCAATCGAATAATCGATTGCACACAATTTGCTTCCTTTGCAAAGTGAGACCAACAAAACAACCGGATCAATTAAAATGCGGAATGTACGTGATGAACGTATCATATTCGTCAAGTGCTCCGCTGTCTCACCACACAAATTCAAACGGCTGATACTTTCGGCGGTGTTGTGTGTGTGTGTATATATGTCTGTGTGTTCATATGTATATTGTGCAATTTTAATCGAATCAAGCCAAGAATGCATTACGGACTCAGCGTACCGGTATCGTCGTTTACATTTTATTTCACCCCCCCCCCCCCTCAAACCACGGCAATTTCATTAAATAAACTATTTATTTTGGCATCAAGTCTTTTTGGCAGAATGAAAGAAAATACATGAATATACATTTTCTTTGATAGATTGCACAGTTGTTCACATAGTTCCCACATCATTCATTTATCGCCGGGTTTTTCTTCGGTGCATTCAATAAATTTTGATCATAATTAACTCGAAGCGATGGGAATTGAAGGCGGAAAACGAGAAATGCAATTAAGGAACAGTTACGTGGGCCTTTTTAATTCGGCTCTCAACATTTTCTCAAACATATATTTTATTCATGCTTTCGAACAACGAGAAAAGTGCAATGGTAACAAAACAAAATGGTTGCAGTGGAGATATCGAATTCAAAAGATTGGAATTCAAAGTTTAGTTATTATTCAAGCAAATACTTATCTAAATTTTATTGAAAATTCATTCATTTTAACTATGATTTTGTTCGTTCGAAATGTACTGATTTCCATTTTTCTGGTTTTTATTTACAGATCGAAAGTCGCTCTAAGAAAGGAAGTTCAGAGATTATTGACGAGTAATTTGAAAGCCGTCAAAATTCGATCGTTAAAGTGGAATAAATCGTTTGGTTGCGCAACGACATTAATTGGGTCGCTTCAGATCGCATTCGAACTGATCAAAATTCGGCTCCTACCAATACTAGCCCCGAATTTCCCTCCCATCATCGAACTGTATCTAAAAGTTCATTGCGCGACCAGATAAAAAGAGGAACCGTATACAAAGGAGGGAGGCAAACACATACACACACACTGAGGCTATTCCGGTTGCATCAGGCCAAGGAGTACAAATGATAAATGGTCGAATATCGGCTAACCGATCCAAAGTAGGCTCCACATTGCTCAGTGACAAACAAGGCCACGCGCAAGTGGTCCTTTGTTGTTCCACCACAAAGCACAGTTCAGCAACGCTGTACATTGGCGTGACAACGTAATTTTTTTTAACCGATTTTACCGCTTAACCAAAACCAAACTAATCAGCTGACTGACCGAATTCATCGCACGGTCAGGGAAGGTGGGAATCTAGATAAAACGGTTTTTATATGTCAACGGTTGTTACTCAGGCTGAATTTTGCGCCACCACGGTTACGCAAACTGATTACTCCATCTCCGCAGCGTCGTCCGCTGTTTCGTCAAATGATTTTCGGCGAGCATGGATAACGCCACATCCGGAAAGTTTGCCCGGTTTAGCGGAGAGAAATTCCACACAAAATCAATATGCTGGTACCAAATTGACGGTTTCTGATGCCAGCAAATCGCCCAGCCCTTTGCAACAACAGCAACAGCAGCAGAAGCAACAGCAACCAAAACAACAATCCATCGATCATGATGACGAAGTGGCACTACATCCATTATCAAATCAGGTAAACAAACACAAAAACAGAACGATTGCAGTGCAATTAGAACTGATAATGTTATTTCTAAGCTAGAGTGTTATCAGGCAAAGTAAGCGCTCAATTCGTAAATACAATATTATGCCAAAGCCGGTCTCAAATGTATACCGCTTAAGCTTCCGGATTCTGCATATCAAATAACACAATTGTGTATGCTCAATTGCTCATATATATATATATATATGCCTTACGTGTATACACAACAGTCTAGTATTCATTTATTTGTAATGCTCGATCGTCAGCGAGTGAGGCATATATTCTTTTTGTATATCGCTGAACAACAACATGTGCTATTTTTCGAAATCTGGCGCCAATGTATTAAACACCGACTCCGAAGTATAACAAACATTGTCAAAATTTTGTTATTCACATAGCATGATCAAAAGCGGCTGACGATCACTGAATCTATTTCAAAGTTTCAAACAAAATACTGAATTGGAGAATTCGAAGCGTTTTGTTCGCGTATTTTTTTTCCTCATAAGTACCAATGCCAAACAAACCATAGTCGGAAAAATCAAATCACATTCGTTTCGAATGACCAAGAGAATATTCCGTTTGATATATTCTAAACATCGCATTTTCATTATCATATTTGCGACGCCGTCGTCGTCTTTTAAAAGATCACAGTTTAATTTGTGTACGGAATGTTTCATTCATGTGTTTTAATTTATGAATCATTAAATATCGCATTTGAAGATAAATATTACAGAAAGAAAAGGAGAAGAAGAAGCAGAGAGAAAAAGTGTGGAATGCCAAACATTAAAGCACATTGTAATTGGATTTCATAACGAGAAATGCAAAAACTTCACTAGAAGCTTCATTTATGAAATCGATTATTATGATGAATTGAAATGAATATCCTCAAAACTGAATACAGATTTACAGTCGTTTGCATGATTCGTTGCTTAAATTAGCAGCGGTTCGTTTGTGTGTTTATTTTTGTAACAAATCCGCATTTTTCGGACAGAGTCACTGCAAACATTTCAAAGCGCTCATGTACCTTTCAATTCAAATCAACGCGTTTGCTTCCGTTTCCATTCAACAACAGCGTTTCTTTTCTTCGTTTTCATAAAAGACCAAGTTTAAGATTAATTTCCAAATTAACTCATCATACGACTGAATGAACGACGACGAAAGCAAAATGGCACATAATTACACGTGTGAGGAAATGCTGCAACACATTTGGCTTGATGTGGTGTGTGTTAATTGTTTAGGGCAGCACATGTAGCGTTGCTTGTTCGTATCTGTATGTTGGTCGCTTGCCCGTTCTCAAAACAACGCATTTCAAGGTTCAATAACACATATTTTAATTCTTCTTTTACATATCATTACGCGGTATAAATAGAACATCGCGAAAACTGTGATTCTATTTACTGTTTGTGTTGGCTGTGTGGCCTCGTCATCTTCGATTTATGGATGACCGAATTTGTGGTAGTATCTCGTATTCAATTATGATAAGTGCATTTCGGAATCGGTGTTGGCTTTTAGCTAAAGCGACAGAGAATGAATTAAAAAAAAACTGACGCCGTACACCGTGTGTGGACTAAGCAAAAACAGCAAAAATGTTCGATTGGGGAAAAATCATATGTGAAACGATATCAAGGAGGTTGGGTGGTCAGTTCTAGGTTGAATTGCGTCATGCGGCTTCAACGATGACGAAATATGCTATTCTCTCTCTCTCGATCTTTCTCTCTTTCTCTCTCTCTCTCTCTGTCCGTGTGTATCATTATCTCTCAATAAAATCAACTATTTCTTAATACACACGTATGCATGAGAACAACGCGCCTCGTTCACTTCGTCAGGAAAAATTTTATCAAAACTATAACCGCAAGAAATGACTCTACATTATTTACATCTACAACGGAATTTCTTGGCATTTATGTATTCAATTTCGTTCTATTCATTCAGGAGTAATTGTGCATACCAAAACAATGTCGAACCGAGTATAAACGTCATTCATGTTCACTACCGACTTGTTCTAATGATTTTGCATGCTAATATATGCTCATAAAAATAATGAACACAAGTAAACGGTTACCTTTACTCTTTATTGTTGATTTTGAAATGGAATCTAATCTTTTGTTCAAAATCCATTTCAACTTTCAGCCAGAACATTCTAAACATTTGGTTTTTCCTTCTGTTGAGTCAACAGTATTGACATCGAAAAAGGAGAAAGTGTTTTTTTTTTCTGTTGATTAAAAAAAGCAGCTGAAATAAATAAATGAGTAGATATGGAAGCGAATAATGGCAAAATTACGCCATTACTTCAGTTGATTTATATGTACAAAATGAATACTTCGCGAACATGCAAATGATTTTCTATTTTAGTACACTTTACAATGCGGGAAATATTTGAAGCAAATGACGCTCTTGCACTTGGTGTTTTTGCGGTTTATGGGAGTAAAAAATGCTCATATAAAAGCCACAGATACGACATGAAATGGCCAAGTTTAAAGTGAAAATTTAGGTCACAATTTTATAATTAGCATTATATTTACAAGTCTGGCCACCAAAATGTCAAGAAAGCACCCAATGAAATGTGTATGTACGTGCGATGAAGGCGTCATTTTTTTTCTGCGCAGACTGCAAATGAATTGAATATATTCAATGTATGATAACACACTAAGCTTAATGGTCTAATCAAAAAAGACAAAACAATTATATGTATTCCATATTAATGTATGTTTTATTTTCATTATAATTTAGGTTGGAGGTCACACGCGACTTCTGCTCCTGAATCAGAGTACGGTCATAAAACCATTGAATATTCGTGAATTAGATTTTTATCAGAACATTCCATCGGATATTCAACAATTCGTTCCTAAATACAAAGGTAAGTCACACAATAAAACAAACATACGCCGTTCGGCCACATAATCCGACTATTAAAATTGAATTGCGATTAATTTGCGTCAGAAAATAATTGAAATAATTTTATTTGTCTGTCGCGTGTATGGGTCAATATAGCTCAGAAATTTATCGACTATCGACGAAACTATTTTCAAATAAATACAACATGAACAAGACGACACAAGAAAACGAAGAAGAAGAAGAAGTCGAACAGAAAAAAAACAAAGAAGACAATGAATGGTATTCATTCAGCGTCATGTATGACGAAGGATTTTCTCTTGTATCGTTGTACGACATTGCCATTGTTCTTTGCAAAGTTGAAAGGCCAATGATCTGGTTCGTCTCAAATGTTAATTCCAATCTCATTGCTCGATTCGAAATGTACACCGACACAGAAACACGCACACATGCGGACAGACCTGTACACAGTTTGGTTTTTATTTATGATTGGCGGTTTTACTAAAAGAGTCGCGACACGCTCAAAATAAAATCCAAACGGCTGATAACAATTTGGGTTTAGATTTTAGGTCACTGTAAAACTCGCACGGCATTCATTCCAATGAAATCAATTGACCGGTGAGAGCGAATGCAATATCAGCAAGTTTTCGAAAATAGTACAAAACGATTACGTATGATTTTCTTGATTGCAATGTCATGACTCAATTGGAATGACCTACCACAATGAGTCACTGTAATCATTGGAACCGAAAACCAGAATTTTTACGAAGAAATGATTAAATTCTCACTCTTGGTTTCTTGTTTTTTGCATCGGTTGTGCGTTTCTTTATTTGCTTTTAATTATGGGAAGCTTTGCAATACGTTGCCCCACGTCATTCACATCAAGGAAAATATTTACATTTACATGATTTTATTGACTGATCGATAGAGCTCCTGGAGACAAACACATCTTTATATGTGTATTTTTTTTTAACAAAAACTATGAATGAGAATAGACGATGACATTTTGTCGGCAATTGTTTAGTTAATCATAATGTTTTTTTTGTGCAGGCGTTATGCAAGCGACATCGATGAGCGGATTCAAGCTGGAGAAACGTTACTCACCAAGCTTCCACGAAGACCCCAATCGAAAACCGAGCGCATCGAAACGGAAACGTGATGATGTTTTACGGTCAGTATTTTATTTGTGATTTAAGACCACATCTCATTCTCGTTTAATCTCGTCAAACCAAATGAAAAATACTTTCGTTTTGATATGATGATGTAGATTCTCGATTCGTTCTTATTTGTTGAATGTTGTTTTTCTTTCGACGTAGAGAATTCGAATGGTTACACTCATTTATTTCATGTATCATTGAAAACCAACCATTTGGACAGGAAATTTAACAGAGTCTCGTCAAAAAACACACAGGGTATTGTTGTCTGAGATGCTTTTTGTCTGCAGGATGAAATGCGATTTCGTGATGGCATTCATGTTATTTTTTTCTGGCAAAAGTTCTCGAATTACTGCTGAATTGCATTGTGCCATATCGTTATTCATTTTCTGTTTTCACAATTATGTGTAGGATAGCGAAATGAAAGATAAGCAAAAGCAGCTTTCATTTGAAAATTGGGCAAAGTTCATACTATTTAAAAAAAAAGAAGAATTATAACATACGATTGTACATGGTTTTTGTGTTAAACTAGTGAATATATGTTTTTGCACCATCAAAATTGTGTGTGTTTTTTTCTCTTCAAATCGTACATTTAATGTCATTTCAATGATTTTTGCATAGTGATTTTGTTTTGCGCCAGTGTCAAGTTCGAATTACAACGGAATGTACAAAGAAAAGTACAGACTTTTCTGAATTGGGTAAAATTCATCTTTAAATATTCGAGTAACAAAAAAAAATGGTGAAATGAATCCGAATTAAATTTTGTTTGTTAATCTATGTTACAATTTTCAGGTGTATGTTTTTAGTAAAGCCAACCACATTCACAAGCTATTACACACACCCACTGTCTCTGAAGAAATCGTGTGCAAAGCGTGTGCAGCCCATATTACTGAGCTGAGAAACTTGAATTGGTTTCTACTAATCTATAGATAAGAATGTAAAATCCAATAACAATTAGAACAAAAAAAACAACAACAGATGTAGATGAATTATAACAAAAAAAATATATGTGGAAAAAATAAAGAATTTGAAAACCACTCATGTTTGTATATTAGCAAATTAAAATGAAGGACAAAAGCGACAAGCATGCGCTCAATTTAAGTGGCACTAAGCTAAGCCAATCCAATCGCGTACTTGTCTGTTTGGTCCATTACTTTATGAATGGTGTAATTAAATATACACACTTTTGCGACTGTATTGTGAATGGGTATTTTATTTCTTATTTCAAAAAGAATGAAATACAACAACAACAACCAAAAAATACGAATAAAAACTAGTTTTACATGAAATCCAAAAAAAAAATCGAATTGTTTCTTCTGACAACAATATTCGTGATAATTCTGAAAAATTAATTCCAGAATAGTTAGGGAATACACGCCAATAAAATGGATAACTGCCGGGAACATAATACCAACCGATCAATGCCATGCCATGCCATCACACACACACACACACACACACACAAACATATTTTCGTCTTACATTATAATAATCAACCATATTTATTTCACAGTCGTTCATTTCATTTATTATTTATTTTCCAACTTTTCTTTTTCCCAAAACGAAACGTTCAACGTCATTGTATTTAGCGCAGGAGTGTTTGCTTCGTCCATCGCAACCGTAAACTATCAAAATCGATGGCAGTTTATTGTACAAAACCAATGAACAAAAAAGATACAAGCAAGTTGCTTGAAGCAACACACATAAAAACCTTCAAAATCAATTCAAATTCCTCAAATCAATAGACAAACAAAACAATCAAATCATTTGTAGAATATTTTAAACGAGTACACATGGATTCTCTAACCGGGCGATTTTTCTTTTCTTTTTCTTTTTTTTACAGAATGAAAGTCCATAGGAATGGAAATGCGATGGAGATTATTAAAAGTATTTCTCAAATAGACAACTCTAACAAACAATGTTAGTATCCCATGACCATGAATCATAATAAAAAAAAATGAAACCAAAGCAAATCAAAAAAAAAAAAATACGCACACGCATCCACAAAGCATTTACAATGAACGTCGAGCATTTAGGCAGAAAGAAATACAATAAAGAATTCATCATTGACCGTCACCTTCAATAGTTCTACAAGCATTGGACATCCCCAAATTGAAACACACATCTGTTTGCATGGCAACGTTGATTTTTGTTTCTTGGATATTCGATTCAATTCGGCATTTTTCGGCAGAGAGAAATTCATTTCCGATTTTGTGGTACCAGTCTCAAGAATGATTTTACCTACTACATTCACTGGGATTCGATTGTTCTTTGTCTTTTTTTTCTTCTGCGAAATGATGGTGATATGATGTTAGGGGAATCATGATATCGTTGAAGAAAATTCCAAATTTCACTTCTTAGACCGATATTGAATTTTTTGAGGATTATTGCATGGTTTCCAAGAGCTATTTCAACTTCTTGAATAAATTTAATTCACCGTCGTTCATCTTTTCATTCCATAATCAATTGTATGGTTCAAATTTTGTACTACTATTGCCGAGATAGACTGTTGTAGGCTTTGTTAATGTTTGTTGGAAAATCGTTGAAATGTATTTGGTTTCGTTGCCGATGAGTATGTTCGTGTCGCTGGGAATTGTTCACTGCAGAGACTACTACATTCATGGGTGTTATGAGATTGGAAAGCTCCGCCAAACAGATGTAATCAATGGATAAAAACAGAACGGAACCTCAACCTTGAGAAATTACGCAACACCGAACATAGAAAGGAAAAAAGCAGCGCATTACACATTCATCACATCATGTCATTTTTTGCTGTTGTCGTTGAACAACCTATGGATTCCATTGTTAGTTGGCCAGCTGATATCGATTTTCTTATCGTTGTGACACAATATGAATCTTGTTTAACAACTGCAATTCCCACTGGTGCTTTACTTTGTGTCACTGTTCATTCAAGCCATCGTATTTTGTATGGCGCAACATTTTATCGATTTTCCCGTCTTGTGGGTTTGCATTGCCTTCTGTTGGGTTTTTCCCCCTTCGGTTTTGTTATTTTGTCGACGGTTTTTCATTTTCAGTCATTGAATGGAAAAATGCTTTGCGTTTTTCCACTAAACCATATACAATTATTTATGTATATTATCCGCATTACACAATTGACGATTTCTTTTCTTTTCTTTTTTTCCCATTTTCTTTTGTTCTACGGTTTTTTTTTGTTCTGTTTGCATTGCATTGCGCTGCGTAGATTTTCTAATGCTGGAGAATATCACGTCACAATTCCGCCAGCCTTGTATATTGGACTTGAAAATGGGGACGAGACAACACGGAGACGATGCATCGGCTGAAAAGCGCAGTAAACAAATGGCAAAATGTGCAGCAAGTACATCGGGTACATTAGGTGTGCGATTGTGTGGCATGCAAGTATATCAAGCCGACATTGAGCACTATATGAAACGCGATAAGTACTATGGCCGTGAATTGAACGAGGACGGATTCAAAAAGGCGCTATACAATTTCTTCCACAATGGTTTCCGATTGCGAACAAGAGTTGTGCGAAAGGTTGTACAGAAATTGGATCAATTAAGGCGTGTGATTGAACGACAATCCAGCTATCGGTTTTATTCGTGGTGAGCAAGCAGTCAAATGATAATTTTTAACTGTATCTGTGCATATATCGATATTGATGCATGACTTGTGAAGCATCGCATATTAATTTAATGACTTGGTTTCCTTGCAGTTCATTGTTAATTGTTTACGAGGGCTATGAAGATCCAAAGGATATGTTGCCAATGGATGAGGATGTGTTGGCAGTTACCTCACCAACTGACGACATACACAGTTCCAAAGGCGAAGGTGATAATCAATCAAGGTCAATTGAGGATGATTCACACAGCGGAAATTGTTCGTACGATGCAGATGCATCAAACGATTCCATTGAATTGAATTTATCATTGGATGAACAACAGCCTGATACACAATCAATCCATGTATACACCAGCCACACACAATCGAACCATTTACCGGTAGGTCCTATGCTCAGGCGAAATTAAAGTAGGATGATTGGATCGTTTATTATTATTTTGATTGACTTCTGATTTTGATTATTTGTAGCTATCGCTGGCGTCAACTGAAATAAAATTGACAACGACAACAACAGTCGATATACCAGTTGAGCAGCGTGGGCCGGGTGAATCGGCGGTACGCGGTGCATCTTTAACACCGTTTGTTCCAATCAACGAAGAAACGGTTTTCCTTGATGCTGACCCCGTAACATCGTCTGGCATCTCAACAATGTCAAGCCCAATGTCATGCGACTCGTGGATGAACTATAGCAGCAATAGCAGTGACGATTTATCGGCCATATCGGATCGAATACATGCACACCAACAGCAACAGCAGGACAGTTCCGAGGAGAGTAGCCTCGAATTTGATACATCGCTGGCACAATCGACACCGAAAGTCAAACGTAATTTCGATGTTGTAAGTGAATACACGTTGGTCGCCGGTCGTGATTCATCCAATACCGGTTTCAATGCGTCGGCTGATGCAAATGGAGACGATCACAATACCAGTGTAAGCCAATCGAAGCGATTACGTGGTCAATCGACAAGTGCTACAACCACAACACCTACCGCTACAGTATCGGGCATAGTCGGGCCATCGAAGCGAAAGGCACTGCATCGCAATAGTTCGTTGTCTGGTGCCATTTGTGATATTCGAATGATTGATTTCGCTCATACGACATTTATGCGAAAGAATGACCAAATGTCTAGTTATGCGAATCCAACGACGGTGCAACATCAAGGGCCAGGTACGACTAACTACACTTTTGAGCTTGTTGAAGAGTGTCAACCTTCTTTCCAATTTAAATTAACTTTGATTTTCTTTTTTTATCCCTGTTTGTAGATAATGGTTTCTTACGCGGTATTGAAAGCCTTCGTCGTCTCTTAACAGATATTTCCAACGATGATGAGATTGAAAATGAACAGAACGAAACGGTACAGTGCATATCGGAGAACTCTGTCGATGGATTATCGTAAAACGAAGCAATCGAATAAAAAGAGAGGATGCCAGCAGAAGTTATAACTGTTTATTATATGACATTGGAACTGTACCACTTTTCAAGTGTCACACGATATGTGTGTGATTGAGTCTCACTTCAATCAATAGCAATCATTGTTCATTCAATCACCAGAAATAATTCGGAATTTTGACTTGTAACTGATTGTTTGATTGTATTTGCCGTAAATTATAACGAGAATGATGAAGAAGAAAACAATTCAACAAAAATGAAAGCAAGAAGAAGGAGAATAAGAAAAAGGAAGGAGAAAGTCCAAATTATGAATAAGTGGTGGGAAGAGAGAAAAGCAAATTAGGTTGGAATCGATACCTGACAATTAATTGTGATTAGAGCATTTTAAAATAAAAATTCTGATGACTAAACGAAGTAAAACAAGAAGGGAAAAAAATAACAAAAATTCAAGCATTGGCAATATGAACAAAAAAAAGAAGTTATTTACAATTTTACGGATTGCAATTCTTGAAGAAGAAAAAAACAAAAAAACAAAAAACAAAAAGCAAGGTAGCGCAGCTCTTTTCAATTCATTCGATAAGAATATGCATTGAATAAGAGTCATGTGACAGTTCTTTCCATCAACCCCAAAATCCCATCATCATGATATGCAATTGAGTGACAAGTTTTGCCATTTTAGCCATCACTTTGAGTTATGCTTTATTTCCGTTTTTGTTCAATGTACAGTCAAATCTTTAGTTTGTTGTCACCAATTAATCATTCGATTTGTGATTCAAACCGAAGACGAAGATGAAGAAGATTTGTATCAAAATATGAATGAAGTAAAAATAAAATAATGTTTATTTATTTATGAAAATCTCAACATCATCTTCATGCCCGATCTCTCTATTTTATAACGAAAAGCGAAAATTTAAATCATAATGAACAATTTCGTTCCAACTGCTTATTAGTAAATAATAATTGCATAATCATGTTTTTCGCTCATACAATAATATGAAACGAAAAACTCATGTAAAATTTTCAACATAAAATGCCAAATTCAATGTTAAACATTTCATCGTTGTTCTCTAAAATTGTAATGCAAAATTCCTACGAAGCAAGTCTATTGAATGATTAAAAACAATTCTATTTTATTTTAGGTTAATAAATTTAACTTCCATTTTGTGTTGCCCAACAATTTATTATATTGTAGCGAATGATATGATCGGAGTTTATTCATGAAAATATTATTTAAGACTTCGTGTCGAAAAAAAAAATTACAAACACACACACACACACACACACACATACACTTTGTTCCATTTTTATTTTAAGACTTCAACGCGCCTTGGATGTGTAGTATTTATAATGCGAGAACGATAGTTTTTTTGTTATTTAAAGAAGAATTGTCATATGACGACAGGTATAGAGGAATAGATACGATTATGACCATTTTCTTTTCAAATACTCTATCTTCTAGTCGCCTTATTATTTTATCAAATTGTAAAATATTGTTGTTTTCTTTTTGTTGCATTCGTGTGTATGTGTTTTAGTGAGGTTATTGCGCCTGACTGTTTACACAACATTTATCTTTAACAACAAGAGATGATACTATTAATAAATCCTTAGTCGCGTTGAACTCCCTCTGGTGTTCTTTATGTACTGTTTAGACGGTTAATGAATGAATCAGCACATGTAAGATATTTTCATTTGAGTTATATAGTTTCAATGCCTTTAAGGTGATCATGTCAGATATTTAGCATAGCTTCTGCAGATCGTTTATTCTCCTCTTCCTCCACGTCCATGTGATGCTTTATATTTCCCATACCCATACACACCCTTTACTCAACTGCATTTCCCTTGTTAACATCAGCTAAGAGGGCAACAAAAAGAGGAAACTCAAACGTTTACACATGCAAAGCTCTAACTAATTTAGAATATATATCCAGTTCAAACATTCATGAAAAGTGCATGAAGAAAATATTGAAGAATTAAAATGGTAGGATAAAAATATATATTTTTCGATTAAAGAAAAACACAAAAATGGTAAAAATGAATTTGTTTAACAGTTGTTTTACGAACATTTTCTTTTTTCATGTTTCAAAGGAAGTAACCAATAAACAGACACAGATGTTAAAAGAAGGAAAAATTAATAAAATGACAAAATAAAAAATTTGAAAATGATTCGTTGTTGTTTTTTTTCTTCTCTTAAATTTATTAAATTCTTTGTCTCGTTGAGCATAAAAATGGGATTGGCCGAAACCGCTCGTTTACATGTGAATCATTTTTGTGTTCCTGGTAAGAGATAGAAGAGATATGTCTGCTGCAATGTTTTAAAACATTTCAAGAGATACTTGCCTCATATCTCGTACCAGAAACACAAAAATGATTCGCATAAAAACGCGTGGTTTCGGCTAATCCCATTTTCATTCTCAACGACACAAATAATTTCACCATTTCAGACCCAGCAGCATACCTCTCTTTGATCTCAGTTTAGATCACGTTTCTAAAATGTTCATCTCCCAGTTTTCGAAACCATCTAAAATGTATTGCGAACGGTAGTAAAAATTTCGACTGAACAAAATTTCTATCCGTGTGACAATTTTATTATAGATCTTTGAAAGTGAATGTTTGTTTGTGTGTGTTTTGTTTTCTATTAAAATCGAAATAGCTTGTGCTGTGTACTTCTTCCAAGTGGAATGTAAGATATTAATCTATTACATTGAAGAGGAAATACAGAAATGTTGTTTTTTTATCGAAAAATATCAGAGTTTGTTATTTTGATTTTTCATATTTAGATTAGTTTTGTGTTGTTTTTTTTTCTTCTTTAAAGTTTTGTTTACATTTTTTGAGGTTTTTGAGTGATTGCTTTCGTTGATATAAATTATTGGGGTAAAGAATAGTTCTGAAATCTTGGTTTTAGGTTTTTCTTTATTATTTAGAGTTTTCCGGATATTGTTCATGTGCGGCCACTGGTGCCGGTTTGGAGGTTACTACCGCATGCGGTTTATTCAATGTTCAGGAGTTCAACATCAAATGTCAATCGTGCGTTCGGTGGAATAACGCCTGGGTGTCCCCGTGAACCATACGCATAATCTGGCGAACAGACCAATCGGGCGCGTTCACCAACAGACAACTGAAAAATACATCATAGTGAAATTGACTGTTTTTTTCCTTGTCTCAAATCAGACAAAAATAAAATGAAGTTCAAATAAAATACGTTACCTGTGCGACACCTTCATCCCATCCCCGGATAACCTCACCACGGCCAATGACAAATTTGAATGGTTTTCCGCGGTTTCGTGATGAATCGAAAACGGTTCCATTATCCAATGTACCTGTGTAATGAACTACGACTGTTTGACCCATTTTTGGGAATCGGCTTCCTAACCCCACAAAATAACATTTGAAATTGCAACGTTAATGGAAGAAAAATCAATTCAGCAAAAAAAAACATTATCAATTCTATATTTATTTTATTGATAAGTTACGCAGAACTAGCTCAAACTAACGCTTGTCAGTTGGTTTTTACACTAACCGATCGATATGAATACAGCAACATAAGTGTGAAGAGTGGTGCATGTATATATATGACGTTGGATGGAAGAAAAAAAATCAGCGAGCTATTGAAATATTAATCACATTCCGATAAGAGCAAAGCGAAAAAAAATCAACAGAAAAACACTCGCTTTTGTTAGCTTGTACATAATTTATATATCACATTGTTGACACAGAGATATCTAGCATTCAAATGAATTATTCCAAGCTGGGTGGAAAACACCAAAGTGTGGCAAATGAGAGAAAAAATGTATCACACTTCCAATGCGCTAGAGCAATGAATCGGGGCACGAAAAAAAAAAGATTTTTTTTCATTGCAGCTGAGCTTGGTAAACCTTAATGACTTTCTGATATTTTTATGTAAAAATTCTTACCGTCTCCTGGAGAAATGCGTTCAATGTCAACACCCATGATTATTCAAATTGATTTGATTCTCGTTTTTTTCCACAGCGGAAAGAAATAAATGCAGATGCAAACTATTTGTTTTGTCGAAAAAGACTAAATGCCGTGTGTGTTTGCCGCAAAAGACTCTGTCTCTCTCGCCCTGACTTTACTGTTCTATACGCGATGGAAGGTGACGCGCGCGTGAAAATAATCTATTCGTTCTTATATGCGGTATACAGCCAGCGCACCCTGCCAGCAAACCAACCAAATCATAGCCGACATTGAAAAACTCTACATAATGGCCACACTCTACACATCTGATGATATCTGCACTATCGATCTATTTCAAAATCGAAACGGAAAATTCATTGAAAATGATTAATTTATTGTAATTCATGATGAATATGTGTTTTTGAAATCCTTAGATAGCGATCATTAACTTGAAAAAATGTCCAAAGAAAAATATTCATTAAAAAACGTAAATAAGTTTAGCAATTGTCATTCCGTTTTAATGTTCTGCAACAGGCAGAATTGAAGCAACATTCAATCTTTATTCATTTGATGAATATTGAAACGCATGGACATTTTACCCAATAATATCGGTGTGTGGCTGATTCTGGATCAACTCACGCATACGCATACACATACACAATACAGTATTGACCGACAAATACTGAACCTTTACCTCATCGCTGGGCAAAAACGTTATGATCTGCGTACCGTACATAATAAGTCAATTCGAATAAGAATATGTTTTCAAACATTTTTAACGGAAGATGAAAATGCATTCCAATGTCAAACATAGGGAAATTCGTTGAATCAAAAGCCAACTTCCCTAATTTATTACGGCACCAGTTCATGTGCTAAAAAGGAACAAAATAAATCCTGGTATTCCCTAATTTATTCTCCAATTTTAATAAAATCACATTTCTGTAGAGTTTTATTGTTGAATGTTAAATATTCAACTCAATCATTTTATATGCTCATATTCATTCAAATTAGCGTGACGTAATCGGTAAAATGGCGTCTGATGCAAAGTATCGTATTTGGTTGTTTTATTTTTTACGTTGTATTCGAATCGTTAGTAACTTCTGATCCGATTTTGTGAGTGAGTGAGTGACACGAACGACTTGAAGTAAACATCAACAGAAGCGGCATAGTGTGAACGAGACAGACACAGAAAGAAAGACACATACATAAACACATCAATACAAATACACGCATACATTTACACATGCATGGCATCAGACGTATACGTTGCCAGTGGAACGTACAACAGTTTTCATCGCAACAATTAATACACAACACAATTCGACATCGTCATCAACCGTTCAACATCAACACAATATCAAACTGTACCAACCAAAAGTCAAACGAAAAAAAAAACATTGTTCATTTTTTCGCGGGTTCCGATTGATTTTGTTATTTTTTTTGTTACAAACATACACAATTGACACTTCTGGACGAGAGACACTTCGAAAATTAAATACAATCGCAATTCGATTCAATTGTTTTGTGGTGCTAGTGAATTGTTTTTTTTTTGGTGATTTTTGTGTCTGTTCTCCGTCTGTCTTAAATTGTTTGTGTATCTTTTTCGAACATTTTCTTTCCGAATTGGTCGCCTTCAAAGTTAAACTTATTGTGAGGACCCAAAATAAACAAGCGGATTGGAAAACATCTGAAAATTCAATAACATTTACGTGTATAGTTTTTTTTCCCTCCCGTAATCCTGAGAGTTTTTGAGTACGTGTTTTTGAAATCACATTTGGGGTATATTTTTAAACGACGACAAATAATTTGGTTTTGATTGTTTTTGTGTGTGTGCAGTGCGCGCATAATTACAGTGCAAAACTGGCCCAAACGTATATGTGTCGGTAGACTAAAGACAAAATTTCATTAGTGTCGTAACCAAAAAGGAAGAGGGAATAAGAAACATAATAAACAAATAGCAAGCAAAAGTTTCGGTGGTGAAAGAAAAAAAAAGGAGAAGAGAACGAATCATTTGTCGGCCCAACCGGACAGTAGCAGATTAGACGTAGACAAACAAGTAAATAGCCCAAATGTCCATTTATTATTTTTGTATTAAAATTTTTTATGTAGCTGAATTTTATTTTTCTAATGTCCAATGCAACGAACAACATTACTACTCCACATCATTTGAGTCAATGTAAGGCAAACAAACGAATAAACACAATAGAATGCATTAGAAAATGCCGAAAACAATAAAAACCAAGCAGCGACGGTTTCCATTAGAAAAACAATGTTAGTGATTTTACCTCTTCTTCTTCTTTCAAATACACTAAATGCTAATGTCGAAACCTATGCGTCGATGTATGTCGCATGGGTTTGATATGCTGCGAAAGTCTCTTACATGAAAATTGGTTTTTCCTCTTTTTATAGTCGTATTTTGCTGATGTTGGTGTTGTTGCGAGTGAAGAGTGAAATAATTTCTTAAAATAGAAAATTGTCTCATCGATAGAAAACGCACACAACCACACTCAAAATATATGCGGCCACCGCGTACGAGATAGAATATCCAATGAGTAGAACATTGATTTTTTTAAATCTAGAATACTTGTAATACAGGTCACACAGGTCCATTTCCGCACAGACGGCCACTTTCTCGACATTCTATGAACTGTACGTTTGCGTTACTGCAAGGATCATCAAAGAAAAACCGTTTTACAAAAAGTCCACTGATTGTTATCGAAAATAAAAACGATTTCAACGCTGACTTTAAAGAGAGGGGGCAACGTTTTTTGAGTCGCAGACACCACACCAAGTGTGTCAGAATAAAGTTGTGATATATCATTTTTCCAAGCAAAAGATATTGTTATCGAAGTCATATCGCACTCTAACGATGAGATCAAAAAGTTCAGCAGCATATTTTGCTTTATTGTTTTATTCAGTTTGTTATATCAACTGTTAAGATGGTAAATCACAGTGCAAAATATTACGATTTCTTTTTACATTCTGAGCATGTGAATGTCGGTTGCAATGTGAATTATATCAACTGTTATGAATCGATGTTATCTGAGTGCACGCGATATTGGACCAGTTTTTGTCCTCTTTCTCTTCACTCCCCTTAAGCGAATCAAAACAATTTCTTCAGCTTATTGAGAATAAAATGAATCGACTCAATTCGACTAAATGCGACTTATCGTTTTCAGTTTTTTTTTTTACAAACGACACCGTTACATTTCACGCGAAGCGATATCGTCCGACAAGCAATTTGCCATAAACCGTTAAAAGAGGTGAATTAAGTCTATGGCCGAGATCGGAGTCTTTGAGCATAGCTGTTGTTATGGAGACAATGGAAGAAGTGATTAAAGAGCATTTTTTTTTCGTTCGATGTTAGAATGAAATTCAGTGGGCTTCTATTACCCATTTCACATTTATTTACATATCTGCTTCTTGTTTACACTTCGTGCGTTTCTTTTCTTCTTTTTCATGAGGAGCGGCAATTGTTTTGTTCATTCGTTTATGTTCCTCTTCTCAGAAGTGTTTTTAACATACGCATTGCGACTCTCAATAATATTTATTAATTCTGCTGTTTATTTTTTTTCAAGCCAACGAAAAAAAAACACCGCTTTTCACATATAACGTGCGCTGCATTCCATATTGCAAATATATTAAACGTTTCACCCGAACTTCGATTCAGTTTAGCGATAAACCAAAATCGATATCACTTGCAGAACGCTAGGTTCTGCCAGCTAAGTGACTCTTGGAATCTTGTTTCTCTTCACTTTATTAATTTTACTGAAATGATCTTTTGAAAGTGCGATGAAACATGCAGCGCACCTGAGCGTCGAATATTAGACTCTGGTGCATAAACAAGCACACACACACACATACACACGCAAACGCTAGCGAACGCACACTTTTAATTAGTTTTTAATCTTGATTAAAAATCGTAGGGGCGAAGAATGTGTGTGTGAGTGTGTCAATTGCTTAGCTGTTTTGCATATGGTAAAACCGTTAGTGCATAGTGCACACCATACGCACCACACACTCCTCAAGTGCATTCAATTTACGTTATTAAAATGATTGAAACTGAACGTCAGCTCTGTGCGAGTGACATGTATGTTGAAGCACGTCTGTACTCTCTATCGCTCCGTCTCACAACATTCACTGCAGAAGCAGCATAAGTAAACATTATAGAAACACACTCAGAAGAACATAAAATTCTGAAGTCAAATGCTTAGGTGAACCGTACGCATCGCTTCGTTGCCATCGTTCAAATGCCCATGTTTCAATTTACTCAAACATTCTAAATATTTTTCTCCTTCGATCATAATAAATATCCAAATTGTGACCACAAACGACGGTGTATTTGTTTTCTGTCTCTTTTTAATGGGTCGCAGTGTACCTATTACACCTTGTTTTTTAAATCGAACATACACCGAGGGAGAGAATGAAAATGAGAAAGGGAAAGAGTCATCGATGAATTCAAATATGAATATCGTTTATAACGAAAAACAAAACAACAACAACAACATTTAAATGGGACTTACTAATTTGTGTGTTTCTTCGTTTCCATCACGCTGCTTTTTCTATATTTGTATTAGTAGTTGCCGATGTGTGTTTTTTTATTCATTCTTTGCTTGCTTGCCTGTTTCCATTCTTAGCCGTGCTCACACTGCGATACAAACATATATCGTATGTTACAGGTTTTTTTTCGGCGCTGCGATTCGAAGTTGGTACTTTAATATGTTGAATAGTGAATTTTTGTGTGACCGATCAAATAGATGTGTTTGGTTGTAACGGAAAGAAGAAGAAGAGAAAAAACACTCATACATTACACACCACACACAAATGAGAGAGAGTGGCGAGTGAGACAAACATAATACATCGCTTACACTATACAGAGAGCAATACACAGAGCGAAGCCGAAGCTCAAGCAAAAGCAAAAGCAAAAGCAATAAACGTTTTCTACTAGAAACAGATACATCGAAACACGGCCACAAAATAAAGTTGTTCGCGTATACATACGCGATATATTGTGTGCCCTGCCCAACGCGAGAATTTCAATTTCGACACGGAATAGCGCGAAACGAACTAAAGCGACGACCGAATAAACGACATATTTCAAAAAAATTATTATTATAAACATATATTTTATAATTCATGAAATTTGAAAGAAAAAACATTTAATTTTTAGTGTTGTTGTTTTTTGCTTTTTAAATTTCAAGTAAGTTTTGTTTTTAATCATCATTATTGTCTAAAACTAAGTTTGATTATTAATTTTGAATTTCCATAGTAGTTCAGTTTGAATTATTTTCAAGTTATTTACGATTTTTTCTCAAAGGAGTCATTTCATCTGTCTCGATCAATTGTTGGGTGATATCATCTGTTGACAGAAAAAAAACTGCCTTTGTTAAGATTTTTAGTTTCGATCTGAAATGCCGTTGACATAAATTCATTTCGAGGATTATATCTGTTGAAAAATCTGACTGATGGATTAAAATTTTTTCTTCATTCGAAGTGATTGTGTTTAGTTTTTGACCTGCAACACTGGCATTCGAACAAAAATTCAAATGATCGACATTTTCAAATACGTGCCCAAACGATTAACACAATCAAGCAAACTCAGTCCAAATGAGCGATGAAAACGAAAATAAATTATTAAAATTGGCCATCTATTAGTTGTTGCTTCGTTTCTTTTACGGCTGTCATACGTATGTCCAGGCTGTTCGGCATTCCACAAACCGACAACACGTTATAAATAGCCAAGTCAACAATAAATAACATTTAATCAAGAGACAAAAGGCACAAATCAAGAGAATTTCGCAAATATGGGAAGAAGTAGTAATTCTTTTCTGTTTCCTCGTTGAAATTGTGTAATGACCGAATGGCGAAGAAAGTCGGAAAGCCTCGAAAGCGAATTACCCGCGAGTTCTGTTTTGTGTTGAGTATGTGCGCGAGCGCACCGTACTGATGGCGACAGACGTACGGATGACATAAAGTGTATAAAATACGACAAGAGTGAATAAAAAGGAGAAAAACGAATGAAAACAAAGCCATGAAGTATCGATGAAACAATATTGGCGCTCATTTCACAGAGACACTACCGAAGACATGTCGTAGAATCAGGCATAGAACTAGGTCAAACTCTCTCGCACATCAAATGAGTTTGCGTTCACTGAATTGGAGACAACATAAGCTCATAAATTCATCAGGGGTCGCACACAAAATTCAGCATATACACAAACGATTTTATTCCAAGCTGGCGTCTCGTTTCTTTTCTCTTTGTTTCTCGGTTAGCTCATACAAATCACGTATCGAACTGTTTGAATTTTTCGTCAAAAAGGTACACTTCATGATTTCCACCAGAAAAAATTACGGCAAATGTCATAGAAAAAGAACAGCAATCACTCCAAGTGCTTGGTATATCTTTCTTTTGTTGATTCGTTCGTTATTGTTTTTTTTTATTTGCCGATTCGATGCTCAGTGAACCATCTGCGGTCAATTTACACACGATGGAAGTGTATATAGCTAAAATATTCCTTGTCTAAATTTGGTATTCGCTTGTCGCTCGGTACAGTCGTCGTTGTTGCTGTTGTTGGGCGATTTTCTCATGAATTTCATGCTTCAGTTATTTGCACATGATCATTTGATGATGACTTTGAAATATGTTTGAATAGAATGGAATACGCTTAAGCCATCCCACATTGAAGAAACCCCGAAAGAGCATATATACGCGCTTATACGCTCTTGTCAAGCATTATCACAATTCGAAACAGTTTTTAACTACAATGTGTATATTTTTGTTTTGTTTTTTTGTTTTTTGTTGATTTTGTTTATAGAATGGTATTGGTGAGAACATTGAATGTAATAGAAGCAGGCAAAGTGTAAGTGCTCGACATCGAATATGTTCATGATCAGAGAGCAGAACGCGCATATATCACATTGGCTTCGATGAATATATTCTTGTGCTGTCGCATTCATTTATAATTC